CTAACATCTTGTTACCAAATACTATCTGAAATGAAATCTCACCACATAATGCAAATAAAAATATTGGTTGAACTCCTAAATTGAATGCAGACTTCATAGGACCTCACGGCCTTGATGAACATCAGAATCCAACTCCATGATTTCTCTTCACATGTCGGGGAACTGAGAGCCTGTCCTCCAAGCTACTTTATCAGAAGATGAAATAAGTGGGTTGGGTTATGTCAGTGAGAGACTGGGACTATGTACCCTATTCCTCACACCACTACAAGAGAAATCAATTTGAGTAGCAGCTCAGGAGATTTATTCAGGGAATTAATTAATCAAGGATATTAGAATTCAAAGTTTGACCACATTCTTCCTCAGATTCTGTCATGAAAATTTATAACTTTGGCATTTCTTCACTATTCCAATGATACTTTGGAAAGAAAACATAAATCTATAAAAGTTTGCTATGGGAAATTATTTGCCTTTTCAAGATCTCACAATTTGAATTCCTCCATAAACTCAACTTCACCACTTGTTAGAAAATGACATGAAATTGAAGCATTTTCCCTCACATACAAAGTCCTCTTATGCTCTAGTCCTGAAACATGAGAAGCTGGGTGTGAAGATAAATCCACCACAGTGCATATTGCAGAAATTGGAATGTCCAGAGTTGAGGAGGGGAAATGGGGAGGATGAGAACAGGTTATTGGCAAGTACTTGAGCCAATCATTTTTATTGGAGTGGGGGTAGAAAGGAAGGAAGAACACATCCTGTTTATTTGTTCCCTTTGTTCAGTTCATTTCACCAAATATTTACAGTACACCTGTGCTGCACTATCACCCGTTCTCACTTCTGAGCAAACAGAACAATGTTTGAAGTGTGACTCACATCTTGAAGTCAATTTCCTTTTAGAGATACTACCTGTGCTCTGTAAATTTAAGTTGGTAAGAATCTCACAGTTCATTCAGGATCTAAGTCTTGTGACTGACTAGTTGGATTGAATGTTGAAAATCTTTCGGTTCTGGAATGTTCTTTCCTGAACTACTACTTTCCTTCTTCACAAGTCACCTAAGATTGATCTATACTAATGTCACAGGTTCCTGACAAATGGTCATATCTGCAGCAAAGCTGGTAATTCAGCCACTGTACAGACCCTGATTGAACACATTCTGGATCTCAGACACTCTGTTTAGCCTTGGCACAGATGGTAGGTGACCAGGGAGATCAAGTTCCTACGCTTTGTAATTCCTTTGTTTTCATAAGGTGGACAGAAAACAATAAGTGAATAAGAAGTTTGATATCGACTAGTCATAAATGTTATTAAGAAAACAACAGACAGGAAACTGGACACCATGGTTCATCAGGAATGGACTCTTCAAGGATGTAACATTTAAACTCAGACCTTGAGGAAAGTCCCACTTCTTAATATGCTTAGTGTTAAGTCAGAGGACCTTATAAGACCTTAACTCAAAGAACCACAAGGTTTTGTGGCAAGGCTGTTCTGTTCTTAATTGATGGCCAGACATAACAAGGACTGGAATGAGTAAGTAAGAGTGTGGGAAAGTGGGACTGGTGATGGAGACAGAGGCAGCATTGTGCTTAAGTTTTTTTTGGCAGATGGCTCATCCTTTCAAGATTCATCAGCAACATAGCTACACCTTAGTTCTTAGAGAAAGCTGTGTGTAGAGCAGGTGAGGGCTCAGTGCCTGGAGCTCCCAGGAACCGAGCAGAGTGGGAGCAGCCATGTGAACAAGCTAGTCTAGCGCTCCCACAGAAAGAGGCAGCTGTTGACTCTGGCCAAAGGACACAGAGTTAGACACAGTTAAATCTATAATCATTATCAGCCACATCGATATGTTCTAACCGACTTACTCTAATCATTTCCCCTCCAACAATGGCTCAATGGCCTGTGAACATTTTGTCTTCTGATACAAAAGATGTTCTTATTTAAATAAATCATTTCATGGTCAAAGGAAGCTTTTGTTACTGTATAGTCTGCTCCTCTTTTTATTCTTATTACTCAATAAAATAGAAAAATATGTATTAGAGGCAGCCACTGTGTAAGGCAGACAAAATTGCTGTCAAAGAATTTATGCTAAGTGCATTTTAACTCTGGATGACATAGTTATTGGGAACATGTATTTATTACTATTTTAAGGATGAATCTTCCACTGACCTTAACATTTTGGGTTTCTTAAGAAATAATTATTGCATAGGGATGACCTTCAAGTATAGAAGTAATATAAATGATAGCTTGTTTCCTTAAAGTTGAAGAAAAGGATAAACAACAGGATAATTCAAAGCAGTCAGTACCCAACAGCACAAAATAAGTGTTATTAAGATCACTACTGAAGTTGACTGGGTCAGCATTTGAGGGTGGGCCCAGTAAGTACTACTTTCTGGAAACAGCAAGGTTGGAAGAATGAAATAGGGAGGATTTGGAGAGGAAGAGATAGGAGTATTTCAAATAAGGAAGTAAGTAATGGGATGGGGGGGGGTCGGGGAAGAGCAGGCATGGGGGAAGCACCCTCAGAGTGTGGCCTGGATCTGAGCATTTTTCATGGGACAGGATGGGGATATGAACACATGCATCTGTGGTCTATTTGGAGAGCTTCTAAGAAATGGCCAGACTGGCATTGCACCATGCCTACAATGGGTACAGTAAGTTTTATTAGTCACAGAGAATTTTGGGAAGCTTTTGGCTCATTGAATTTCCAGGATCCTTAGTAGATCCTAGATATTACCTGATGATTGGTAATTTGTAAATGTCCATATTATTTGTAAGTTAAACCGTTTGTTGACAGCTTATGGGACAGATGGGTGATTTTGAGCCAGAATACCTCCTGTCCCAACATGGTCATTGCAAAGTCATTGAGATAGGAACATACATAGAGAAACTGCTCAAGCCTTAGGTTCATGTTCTTCTGCTCATGAACACATCAAAGAGAAAAAAATTTCACTGGTACAGTGAAATTGATGCTTTTTTTTGTCAGAGAGACCACCTTCATATCTTAGCAAATTCATTTTTTTTAAGTATATTTAATTCTTTGTTCATTTTTCTGAAACCTGTAATCTTATATCACTGGAATCAGTAGTGGAAATTTTATCTCTTATAGTTTGTTCACCATGTTCATTCAATCCAAAGTTCACTTTCAGTTATGGATTAACTCCTTACCAGGAAATAGTTTTATGAATGCATTTTTTTTTTAGCACAATGGGCTCCTTTTTCTCTTATGACTCGAATCAGTCAAGAATGAGTGTCTTTGACAATTCTTGAAACTCAAAAATCTGCATTAACTTGGATCTTAAAAAAAAAGAATTGTCATGACCCAGCCTTTCTGGTTAATACTCCAAAAGAACAAACCATAATGAATGTGAATAGGACCTCTAGTGGTCAAAGATGTCTCTACCTCCTGTTAGGCATTGCAACCTAAGAGGGCACCTGGAACAGAGCCAATCACAGAATTCTGTACAATAACCCTCACTCACTACATCCTTGATATTGGTGTTCCCTCTTTAACTTTGGAGAATACCAAGCGATTGTACTTTGTGGTTTGGGGACACAGATTATTTTTTCATCATTCCATAGAATTATTAGAAGGACCATACAACAATAAGGCACCAGTGACTCATGCCTGCAATCCTAGATACTCAGGAGGCAGAGATCTGAAGATTGCTGTTCAAGGCTAGTCTGAGCAGGAAAGTTTGTGAGTCTTTTATCTCCAATAGACTACCCTCTCCCCCCCCCCAAAAAAAAAAGCCAGAAGTAGAACTGTGTCTCAAGTGATAGAGTGCTATCCGTGAGCAAAAGAAGCTCGGGGACAGCCCCCAGGCCCAGAGTTTAAGTCCAAGGACAGAGATTTGAACAAAACACACACACACCAAACCCCCATTGAGATGGCACAGAGGAATGTCACAACTCAATTTTGAGCAAGGGGTCCTGAAACAATCAGATCAGCAGAAGTATTATATACTTTGTTATGTAAATTGGATATCCTAGTATATTGGCACTTTTCTGATAGAGCAATTCATTTCTTCTTGAGAGTGAAAGCATTATTCAGCTGTCTTTAGGCCAGTATAGACATGAAGCCTTTTCTGTACTCTTCTGTAGATTTCAATGTCTTTCTCTCTAAAATGAGAGAAATATCTGTCTGTCCTCAGGTTGTTCTAGTGAATGTTGAGTTTTTGTTCTGATACCTGGTATATTGTCACTCAATGAAAAAGGTGTTGATGATTATTCCTACACTTTGTTGTTCTCTACACTCCCCATGGTCCACATAAATATTTTCATGTAAACATAAACTATAAATGTAGCCACACAGAAAAGAAATTTCTTAGCAACATATCTGCCATTCTGTGTGATACTTTCAGGTAGTTTAGTTAGAGCCAAAAATGCAGTACAAGTTTTTTTGTAGTTATTTTGTTTTGATATTGTTACTATTAGGTAGTTATTCAAAGGGATTACAATTCCATAGGTCCGTTTATGAGCACAAGACTTCTTTTTTTTTTTTTTTTGTCGGTTGTGGGGCTTGAACTCTGGGACTGGGCACTGTCCCTGCACTCTTCAGCTCAAGGGTAGTGCTCTACTATATGAGCCACAGCACCACTTCTGGTTTATTGGAGATAAGAGTCTCATGGACTTTCCTTTCCTGGCTGGCTTTAAACTGTGATCCTCAGATCCCAGCCTCCTGAGTAGCTAGGATTACAGGTGTGAGCCACCGGTGCTCAGCACAATAGTTCTTAGTCAATACTACCTCTCCTTCCTTCTCTCTCATTTTCTCCCACAATACAAGTTTTACTGATCTAATTGGCAGGGAGTAAGCTATTTGTCTATGACTCCTACCATGAGCCAGTAATTTCCAAAGTGATCCTCAACTCTAGTATTCTTACTTGCATTTTACTCTGTGAGTTTAAAATTGTGAATTGCAGTAGCAGGATTCAAATGAATTTGTTTTGTGTTGTTTGTGTTGTATAGAATAACTGGCATGTCTTTCCTTTCTCCTTCTCTTCCATAGGTTAACCTCAGAGCCACAGATGTTAGGCTCATGCGCCAGTTGCTCGTTATCAATGAGAGCATTGAGTCCATCAAGTGGATGATCGAGGAGAAAGCCACCATTACCAGCCGGGGCAGCAGCCTCAGTGGCAGCCTGTGCAGTTTACTGGAGAGTCAGAGTACCTCTTTACATGGCAGCTACAACAGCCTACATGATGGCAGTGATGGAATGGATGGTATCTCTGTGGGAAGCTATCTGGACACTTTGGCAGACGACGTCCCAGGTCATCAGACTCCATCAGACTTGGACCAATTTAGTGACAGCTCTATAATAGAGGACTCACAGGCACTATCAAAGCATCCCAAATTGGATTCTGAGTACTACTGCTTTAGCTAATGACCCAGGTTTTTTGTTTTTGTTTTCTGCACGGGACTGGTGTGCAATTGACTTGTATGCATTCTTCTTCTCTGCTGCTATATTTTTGGTGTGATTTTTTTTTTAATGAGGCAACCTTTTTAAAGAAGCTTATTTTTAAACTGCTTAATGACATTTCTGTTGCTCCTAATATTGCTCATCTAGTCTGATTTATTTTTCTCTGTCACATCTTTATTTTTATTTATTTACAATAAAACGTTCTCCCTTCTCTTACAGTAGCTTAGGCAAAGTGTAGGGGAAAGAATAAGCAATAATGATGTCTTTGTTTTTGTTTTCAGAGTAAGGGGTCAGGGATTACAAAGAAAACTTTGCTAAATTTTACAATAAACCAAAGTATGATAAATATTAATTTTGTTGTTGTGTCTTTAAATGATTCAAAATTTTATCTTCCAGAATATACTGGGATATATTTGTGTTTATCTGTTAAGTTGAATAAAATGCATGGGCTAACCTTACATCATTCCAAGGCTTCAGTGTCCAGTATGTGATCAATACTGTTATTCATACTTTTCTATGTGGCCCTATGGAAGCCCCTAGCTATATATATGCTATGTTATTGATACTATATATTACCATTTTGTCATCAATATTAACTCAAAGCACAGATTTATTGGATTGATAATGTCAGTGAACAATTGAGACTAGTTATGAAAGTGACTAGAAGCAAAGGTATCCTGAATTAGATGTATTTTAATATTTATTGGCATTTTCTTTTATACATTTTGATACTATGATAAATTGTATAAGTACATCATTGTATAACTACAGATGAAGAAATAGATATGTAGATCCTAGATACCCTTGAAGCAGGATAGTTATTTACTTATGAAGCCCTACATGGCATTTTTAAATCCTGGATGGATATATAATCTCTTAGTTTTCTCAAGTGACACCTGGAAATATAACTCATGTGTAGTGAGTGAAAACATTTAGTTTTGATGTGATATTTTATAGTATCACATATCAATCCCCTCCATTTTACTTATCTTAATGATTCCTAGTGAGGTATTTAAAACTTCAAAACTATTCCTTATAATGTTGTATGTTTCGCACTAAACACCTCACAAAAATGAATCAAAAAGTCTTATTCATAACTGAGAAGCATCTATTCTCAAGAAATATTTAAAATGTATGAGTCTATAATTTGCACTAGTCTTTCCCCATGAATTTCTTTTTCTTTTTTCCTGTGAATACATCAACACTATTTTTCAGAAAACATCTCTTACAGAAGGTTGGGGGACAGGTAATTTAGTCATAAGAAAAGCCACCGAGGGTGGGGTGGCCTGATTTAGTCAGAGGAATTCTTGATATCATTCTTATTATATCACTCATAAATCTCATCTTTGGATTGTCATCATTCTATGTCTGTTCTCCTTCCTTCCCTTTTTAAATTGCCTTTTCCAGTGTTGAGTATCAAGCCCAGGGCCTTGAGCATGCTAGGTAATGTTCTACCACTGAGCTACATCGCTAAACTACCATCCATGTTTAAAGAAGCTGAGAGATGCAGAAGGCAGATAAGTAGGTTAAAATCTCCTGGTAACTGTCAATCTAGAATTTGAACTTTGCTCTATTTGATCCCTATCAGTGACATTTAGTAACCTCTTTTCTACTTATTGACATTAAATAATAAAATACATATGAGAAAGCAAATTTAGCTCCAATTATTTAAAAAGAAATGCAGCCAAATATTGTCCCTCTGATCTGTGTCTTTGTTTCCCCATACTGAGCTTGCCTAGCCTTTTCTTGAATTCGCAATCCTGAGTGGTGGTTTAGGAAGTTGGCCACACACCAATGATTCCTTTCTTTCTGCATACTTTTAGTTTTAATCTAGTAAAGGCTGTTTGATTGGTTCTTGTTTTAGTTTGGAACCAAACCAAACATTTTTAGCACAGATTGTTTATCAGATTAAAATTCAAGGACACACATTTTGACTCAACAAAGAACACCTCCTAAGAACTAGGACAGATGAATATCAAACAGAAATACTTAAGCATATGTCTATAACATTGTTAAGAAGAATACCCTTAACAAGAGGAGAATAGTCAGTCAGCAACTTAAGAAACAAGAAAAAATTCCAACACCTTTAAAACCCATCTTTTGCCCAGAACAAGTTATGCACAGGAATATTTCTGTTCTTAGATTCTGGCTTCAGATTATGAACTCAATCTGGCAACTTTGTTTTGCACTGTCCTTTTCCAACCAGCTTCCTCTTATCTGTCTGGACCTACTATAAATTTCCTGTCTGTAGAAAAATGAAAAACAAATTATGAAAGTATAATGTGCAATAGCTTTCATTTATACATGGTATTTTAAGAAATCTATAATGCACATTGGCAGAATAGTGAGAAATTTTTGCTCCCTTAATCATTTTCAATATTTCATATGCTTTACATTTATCCCAATAATATTTTACAAAATACAATTATATGCAATATAGATTGTATGATTCAGACACAGAAAATCACGTATGCACAAACAATATTTTTATTGTGGATTTTATAAGAGGTAGGGAAGTACAGTTAAATAAGACTAATCATTAACATATTATTGCTCTCAAGAGAATAAATACATAGAGGTGTCTCATTTTCAATGGAAGACTCCTCATAGCTAATCTCTGGCCTGGAGCATATGATATTCAATCTCTATTACCACCATGAGGAAATGGGGTAAAAAGTTAAAAGTATTTTTCCAACGATTCTCCCTGAACCGAGTTTTGTTTTTCCAGAGAAAATGGAATGTGCTAGAGTTGCATTAATCTATTTTATGGACTTGTTAGTCTTCAAGTGGAAGGGAAATAATTGCAACATAAGGAATAAAGACAAGCTAAAACTAGTATATCTTTGGAAAATTTGCAAATAAAAGAGCTCTAGATGACAAACCAATCTGGTCTTCACTGCAAGGAAATCCTAATATTTATTTGACCAGTCATCCCTAAATTAAATAGTTTTAAGTGTTTGTCAATGTTTAGAAAGGCAGCAAAGATTCTTTCTGCTGGGCACATTATAAAGGCATTTAGAAAACCACAAATAATTTTCATACATTTCTCTCTCCATCAAAATACAGTCTCATATCCATAATTACAAAAATATTTATTTCAAAATACTTATCTCCCTGGCATCTCAACAGCAGCATTTTTTTTTATTGTAAAGATTCTATACAGAGGGTTACAGTTACATGAGTGAGGTAATGAGTATACTTCCTATTGAACATTGTTACCCCCTCCATTGTTGTAACAGCAGCATTTTTGAGAGAATATCATCACCCGGCTTCCAGAACACCCTTTCTCTTGAACCCATTTGTTCCCCATAGCCTGCTTGTTCACAGATGCCACTGTTTGTTTCCCTTCATTTTCCTCACCTCCACAATGCAAGAATACCCTGGCTCTTAATTCCTTTCTAACACGGATTCTCTTCCCCCAGAATTCATCCACCTTGAGGTTTGTGAGACTTTGAAATGTAAATTTTGTGTCCCAGTCTCTCTCCTAAACTCCAATATCGCATTCCCACCTTTCACTATATCATTTGTGTTTGGTATAGTATAAACAATTCTGAATGTTTTACCATCCTTACCAGTTTAGTAAATGGTGTTTCTTTCAACTTATCAATTCACAGCTCAAATCCTTAAAGTCATTCTTAGTTACTCTATTTCCCTCACACAACATCCAAATGATATAAGTGCCACCTCAAAAATAGATCCAGAATACCACACATTCTCACCATCACCTCAACATCCACTCTTAAGTCACTGATACTTCTTCCTGGGACTATTGCCCTTACCTATCTTGTTTCCTTGCTCTCTTCATTACCTTCTTACAGTTCATGCCCAATACAGCAGAGTAATTTGGCAAGACACAAGTCAGATTCTTCTAGCCTCTACTCCAATTCTGTGATGGATTTCCACCTCAGAGGTTAAATTAAATCTTCACCATGGACTACAAAGTCCTATACCGTCATCCTCTGCCCACCTCAATTCACCTTGCATTGTTTCCCCATCTATCACTGTGAAGCTTCATTTTGTAACTGTGTTATGCCTTAAGCTTCTTAAATCCAAGCAGCACGTTGAACTGCTGAAGCTTTGCACTTCTAATTCCTCCTGTTTTCATATTTACATCTGATTCATATTTCTGTGCAAACTCTATGTTTCCTAGTACTACAGTGTAAGGTCCATAAGAACATTACTTTATTCATTGTCATAGCTCTCACCACCTAAAAGTGTATCTTGCCATATGGTAGATACCAAATAAATGTTTTTGACTGAAGCAATTATGAAACATTTATTGAGAGCCCATCAAGTGCCAAGTAATTCCTGTGTGTTCTGGTGATGGAAAGATGAGGAGGATATGAGGTCCTGTCCTCAAAAAGGTCATATGTCTAGTATTTCCTGTGGTTGGAAGAGCAATATCTCTCACTCCTGTCCCTAAAGATGTCTGAGATATAAGCACTAGAATCTCCCCAAGTATGCAGAGTTGCACAGAATAAGGGTCCTCAAAGAACTGATTAAGATATGGTTCTTCAGATGAGAAGATACTGGATCATCTGAATGTGATTCATGTGTGGACAGAGAAAGAGATGAAAGAAGGAAGGAAGGAAGGCAGGCAGGCAGGAAGGAAGGAAGAAAGGAAGGAAAAAGGAAAATGAAGGAAAGAGGGAGAGAAAAGGAAAAGGAAGGAAGGATGGAAGGAAAAGAGAAAAAGAGAAAGAAAATAGAAAGTTGTAAATGTATACTGCTGGCTGTGAAGCCCGAAAAGGCCATGAACTAAGGAGGAATGTGAAGCAGGGTACAGTTTCTATTGCTCAGCATGGATTTTATTGACTAACTCATTAATCTTTTACTATTCTATGTATTCACAGTTATCACTGTTTAAATATTGTGCAGAGCATTTCCATTAAACACTGAACAACATTTAAATATTCTCACCTGTCATTGTGGATTATTTTGTGCAGCATGTTTAACTCAAGGCCTGCCTGAGCCAAACCAGAGCCAGTAATGGATCACACCTACGTGTATTTGGGTGCTAGTTAAACCCCAAACATTGCCCAAAGTTGGCATTCCGTCAAGCCGTTATCATCAGGTTCAGGCCCTGTTTATCCAAAGTGGGAGGAAGAAATGTCAGAAGTGATGATATTTCATTCTTTACTAAACGAGGCACTCAGTACTGGTCGGGAAATGAAGGCATTTTGATGCTTTTAGATTATTTTCAGAGTAATTTACTACAATTATTTTCCATCATTCAAATCTACTTATAAATCAATGTAGTTCTAGCTATCAACTGTGCATATTTTTCTCGCATGCAAAGGACTGTGTATGAAGAGTTAGAAGGCCTCTTTTGCCTTTATCTTCGAGACATTCCAGATTCTTTTTCAATGGGCCTTTCCTTCAGAAT